AGAGAGAGAGAGAGAGAGAGAGAGAGAGAGAGAGAGAGAGAGAGAGAGAGAGAGAGAGAGAGAGAGAGAGAGAGAGAGAGAGAGAGAAATATAGATTTCATTCCCCAGTGTTTGACTCCCTCACACACTCCTCCTTCCTTCTCCTCTTCTGCCCTCCTCCTCTTTCCTCCTCTCTCCTCCTCTCTCCTCCTCTCTCCTCCTATCTCCTCCTCTCTCCTCCTCTCTTCTCCTCTCTCCTCCTCCTCCTCCTTCTTCCTTGTGGTGTAGGGAGAGAACCTAGGAACCGACTACCACTTGGTTTCTGGGTAAAGAGAGTACTGTGAACACCAACAGCACAGCTAACAGGCAAAAGGACAAAATGATGCTTTATAAAAAAAATAAAAATGTTAACCTGGGTAGAGCACGTACACGGCATTCAGGAGGTCATGGGTTCGGTTCCCCATGGCATCCATTAGACCCCCCACGGCCTCCTGCAGCACACTTTGGGTTCACCAGCGGAGATAGATGGTTTGCCCCCCACTGGCTGGTGGTGGTAGGTTGCTTGTCGCCGTCGTCTTGCTTGTGGCCTTCTGTCCCGTGCCGGGGGTTAGTAGCCATGGCACTGCTCCCTGGACAGAGCAGCGTAGGCAAAGATGGAAAACTGGATTAGTAGGTAGATAGGTAGGTAGTGGGAAGCCATAATGAGAGAAGAAAATAGGGTAGTTAAAAAAAAAAAAAAAAAAAAAAGGTCAACCTTTAACACCTGACTAACTAGGACTCTATAAATAAAACTTGCAATAAAAAATAATAAACTTAAAAGTTAAAAGTTAAAAAAAAACTGACTAACTAGACTAAGGATATACTAACAATCCCCAAAACATGATGGGCCGTCGATGGTCTATAAATAAATTTACCTGCATGGTCTATAAATAAACTTACTTGCATGGTCTATAAATAAACTTATAAATAAATTTACCTGCATGGTCTATAAATAAACTTACTTGCATGGTCTATAAACAAACTTACTTGCATGGTCTACAGACAAACTTACTTGCATGGTCTATAAATAAACTTACTTGCATGGTCTATATATAAACTTACTTGCATGGTCTATAAATAAACTTAACTATCAAAACTGACCAACTAAAAGTTAAAGTCTAAATAAAACTCTATTAATAAACCAGCGAGCCGAGCTCAGTTGGTACGCCCATGAACTGCTGAAACACAGACTTGAGTTCAAATCCTGCTGGACCTTGATGAATGGAGTAAATCATTCTGAATGACCTAGGGCCAGTCCGACGATGAACGAAAATATCTCAAGGTCATCGCCCTTTTTGAAGAAAGAAGAGAAAAGAAAGGAGGGAAAAAAAAATAAAAGAAGAAGAACTCTATTAGTAAGCTTTTCCTATGAAAAAAAAAGTGATGAAGGTGAGACTCTGTAAAAAAACTTAACAATGGAAAATGGAAAACACCAAAACTGACTACCTAGAAGGCTAGAAGTCTATAAATAAACTTGCTAAGAGTTGCTATACCAGAATTATGAATTTTAAAACCCTCTTTAAGTTCTCTAACTAGCCTAAGGAGTACCTTAAACCGCCAGTACACTGCCCCAGCCTTGCTGAAAATGCAACTCGCCACCCACAAAATTTTCGGAGGCTCGGCCTACCGGACCACAATGGCTGGTGGCGCCAACCAAAAAGGAAAGAAAGTGCGCCGCTGGCGGTTCGGCAAACAGATGACAGATGTCAACAATCATATGTCTTCTGGTACAAGGTGCACGTCGGCTGCACGATAAACAGGAACCGAGACGAAGGTAGACACAGTGCAATTCAGTGGACCCACCGTCACGCTGAAAACAGTACAAAGGTAGGCAGAATGGACATATGCAAGACGAAGAAGCTGCTGGCATCCACCGCAGCGACATCGATCGCAAGTGCAGAACAAAGGCTAGCTCCAAGCGCAGTCTGCAAATTTAATGCCATCTTGTGCGTTGGATGGGCTTCTCTCTCCCCTTTCGGTTTTCAACTTTTTCCCACTTAAAAGGAAATTGAAATCTTCCGGTGTCCAGCGGGGCCTTCCTCTTTGTTCGGTCGCACTTGCAGTGAACTGCCGTGAATTTCGTGAAAGCCATTTCCTCTGAATTTAGCTGGCAGGCACCTCTGTTTTGTTGTCCACACCCTCGCGAGTGTCATTTCCCCCCAGCCCCCTCCTCCTCCCCTCCCTCCCTTTCCCCATCTGCCTCTGTCTCCTGCCCTGGCCTTTCCCACCTACTACCCCTTCTGGCATCCCCCTTCCTTCGCTTCAGGTGGTTCCATCAACTTTCCTTCTCTATACATATTCCCATAACCTTCCTACCCCTCAGAAAGCAACTCTGTACACATTTCTCACAGCCTTCTTAACCCTCAGAAAGCGACTCTGTACATATTTCATGTCTTTTTCTTTACCCGGTGAGTGTACAATAGTTCCCACGAAACCGAGCATGCTGTTGCCTTCCACTGATTGCAAGCAGTCTGCCTTCGCTGGGAACGTGGAAAAATCTGTGAGTGGATCGTCCGCCCGACTCTTCCGATAATTGAGTGCCATTTAAATTTTAAACAGATCATCGTAACTTAGTCTACTCTTCTTGACAATGATTTGACCTCACCTGTATAACAAAGTCTGTATGTTTTTTCCCTCTCCTTTTCTGACGCCGCAGATTTGTGCTTCTCATGTACGCCAGGTCTTGCCGACCAACGCTTCTACGACATATTTTGCGGCTGCGCGGTCTTCATCATTCGCTGCTGAACAGGGGCCCGCTTTACCTCACCCATACAGCATAGCTGGAAAAGCACCATGCCAAGCGGCACAACCGATTTGCAACAGTAAGAACACTTTTTCGCACACTTTTTAAGAAAGGAAGAAAGAAAGAAAAGAAAAGGGTCGAAAGTCCTGCAGAATGTTCATCGAGCAATATCAAGCTATCAAGCGGGACATTTTTCGACAACAAGCAATGGAGGCATAGAGGGGGGGGGGGGGRGGCAATTCAAGGCATCAAATCCAGAGCAGAGACCTCTACCAGCCAAGCCGAACCCAGCCACTCGACCATTGACTCACGCTTCTTTTGCAACAATCTGCCCCAACATGGTCATCATGAGCAAGTGATCACTCATCCGCAAGGAAATGAGCGATGCGAACGACAATAAACCAAATGGGAGCATTCCATGGAAGTCCAGATAACTCGGAGTCCGAACTGAAAACAGATTGCAAACCGAGATTACACGAAATAAGTATGATCAAAGCGTTGAAGTCACATGATAATGAAGGCCCCTTGGCCTGCCGGAGCCACTGACGGTGTACCAATTTATGGTAGGGGACCGCCACAAAGGTTATATGGTCCAGCCATGGCGGGCCACTGGTGGCCGGGAGCGGATGGGGGAACCTCTACATCCATTGCCAGGAGGGCTGCATACACCTACCTCATGATGCTGTGTATGCAGTTGCGGTGCTGCAGGATACGGGCAGGTCGCGCCCGGTGCCACAAAGGCCATACAACCTTGCTACCCCTGCTAGGGACCTGCAGCTGCACCGCAACAATTGGGAACTCCCCTCCCAGGGTAGTCTGTGCCGCCCACATGCACTGCATCAAGTGACTACCAAGGCGCTGTATCTGGCGCAACTACCACCATATGATGTGGGGGGTGAACTCAAGACCAGATGAGTTGGGTATCTGATGAGGAGCTACAATCCTGGACGGCTGTGGAATGACCGATGTATTGGACCTTGGTCTTCTCATTCCTGGATAGGCAGGCTTATTGTGACCATTGCCACATCTTACGATACCCATGATGGCGTGGTTGGCCAAAAGAAGCCGCCACAAAGACACTGTGTGCAGAGTTTGTCATACCCATGAGGAGACCTCGCCCCACCTCTTCGTGGGATGCCCGGTCGGCGCGGGCTTTTGGGAGCAGTGGTTGCAGATGGTAGCCTGCCATCATTTACCATGGCCTCAACACCATCATGCGTGGGTTCGTTGGGGTTGTTGGTGGGAGCAACAACACATGGCTTGAGAAGGGACCAGGTTCGGGCCATGGAAATCATCAGGGCCGCAGCCTTGAGGGCCATATGGTGCTGTCGAAATGATGCAGTAAGGGAGGATCAGTCCTCGGTGCCAGCTACACTAGTGGTGTACTTCCACTACAGCCTGAGAATAGCGCTGCAGGTTGAATTCCACAAGGAAGTGAAGAAATGCCCACCAACGATCCGCCTTGACCAGACATCCTTCACTAAAACATGGGGGGCCCTATGGTGCATTGGTTCGGATAGATGGGACCACAAGGCACTTGGTGTTTGGCCCGCTTCTCAAACCGGACTGCCCGGCAGCCCCGCACATGAGATTGGACACTACAGGGAATGGGCCGCAACCAGGGTAGGGGGGAAGGAACAGAGAGGTTGATAGCTAGTAGGGGGGAGGGGAGGGCGGGGAGGGAGTATAGTCATAGTACTGGCAGTATGAAGGAACAATGTGTATAATGACGGCGTGATGACGCCTGCATGCATCGAGGGGAAGGGCTAAGTATCGAGAAACTACATCTACGAATCAACGTCGGAGATAATAATGGTAGGGTGCTGACTGGGTTACAGGTCAAGTGGTATGCCACTGAACTTAAACCCTTATCAATAACAGGTAGAGGTCGAATAGGGCGGAGGTGCACCGACAAGCTAAAGTGGTGGACAGTAACAGTAAGGTGACTGGGGCAGAGGGACCGTGGTATGTCGCTGAATTCGAATCTAAATCCTTAGATGAATAATGTGGATAAAGTGCACTGATTGAATAACTCACCATTGTAACCCCTCTCGCATAATTAGTAGGACATGGCAGACAAAATCATATTAGCAACTACGGCAGTGTTGCACACCCCGACCGTCGGCGACCCCTGACTGGTCGGCTGCCGACCCGCTGACCGGTCGGCTGGTCGGCACCTACCGGTCGGGGGTCGTCGGCACCCCGATAAGTAGTAATAACCCCACAAACACCCCCATACCCACCCCAAATACCCCCAT